GGAGCCCTTAGGCAACCGAGGGACATATGAGCTATAGCCTGATCTCCCTAAGGGGGTTATATAGGGTTTTATAGGGGGTATATAGGGATAATGGAAAAGAAAATGGAAACTACTATAATGGGTTATTTAGGGTTTAGGGTTTAGGGGTTTAGGGTCTAAACTCCTTAAAGGGGGGTTATATTGGGGATTATATGGGGGAGTACTATAGGGGATATTAAGGGGGATACTAGGAGTTTAGACTATAGCTCAAACGGTGGGTCCTTGTTTGGGGGCCCTTTTACGAACTTCCAAATCTTGAGAAGTAACCCATATCCTAGACATGCAGCCCGAAAAACATGTCACCTATGAACAAAGAAGAACTCGGACCAGAGGCATGCCTCTCCATCCCATGAGTGTCTTCGATCGGCTCTACAAAGATGCCATCCGAAGGCAGAACCGCTCACAGGACACATAGCTCATAGGGTTGATAGAACTTAGGGTTTAGGGTTGCTTTGATAGCTTAAGCGTGCCATGCTGTTTAATAGGGGATTATATAGGGGACTACTATAGGGGTTATTAAGGGGGGTACTGGGAGTTTAGACTGTAGCTGAAGTATGCAGGTTCTGCCAGGTTCCTTTTGTTGTTTCCAGCAAGCTGTCTTAGGACTTTCCCTCGACCTTATATAGTCTCCCTTAAGTATATAAAATATGGACTATGTGGGGATCTTATTATAATATTGGGCAATCCCATATTCTATCTACTTTAGCGGAATTCTAGTTTCAAGCACAAGTCTGGTATGGCGCCCCAGACTGAAGTTCTGGCTAAGTTTAGGGGTCCAGTATGCTCCAAGAACATCATAGGGTTGCAGGGTCATTCCAAATAGCGTGAGTGTTGATGGGTGTGCTTAGCCGAATACTTCAAACCACTTGTTGAGGATCGACTCGTTTTCGAACAAGGGGAGCAACACTTTCGCTTCCACATATTCCCACCTTTTTCGGTGTTGTTTAATTTCTGCGACATATCGGATTGTTTCTTAGACATTTTACTCGGCAATGGCTGAAATGTTGGATTGGGCAGAAGGGCTGAGGTCTGAATTCTGTGGTCTGCAACATGACAATCCCTGTGTGTGCATCTTCTCGTAGCTGCAGCATCTTCGCGTAGCTGCAATACCAGCAAAGATCTTGGAAACGCAGGAGAAGTGGGTGGTGGACATGCGAAACGCGCAGCAAGAGACCTGGGCCCCTTGGCTGCAGTGGCTCATGTAATCAAGAGCAGTTGAAAGTTTTTCGTTTGACATAACCTAAGCTCTGTAGTAGTGCAACGCTAACCCCCTAAGCCCCTAAACCCAAAACCCTTACCCCTAAACGGCATTAAAAAAAAAACCCTAAATTCCCTAAACCCTAAACTTTCAGTATCTTCAGGGGCACAGGTCGTTCCTGATCCCTGGGCTTGCCTTGACTGGATCATACAATCTGAGGTTTTGGGGACGATCCTAAGACTCTAATCCCTAAGCCCCAGACCTTAGGTGGACCCCCCGACCCTGTAATAGTGGTATAATCGGAGTATAAGAGGACCCTACTTTAATCACTGGTAATCCCTTACAGTCACTAATGCAGGGCGGGTGTTGCACCTTACCCAGGCCCGAAGTCTAAACCCCAGACCCCAAACCCTAACAGTTCCTGCCTGAAATCCTGATCCTTAGACCAAAGGATTTAGGATGAAAAGGTTTAGAGGTTTAGGATTTATGGGTTTAAAGGTTTATGGTTTGGAGGTTTAGGGTTTACGGGTACCCAGCTCTGGCCCAGGAGCGCATCCTGGGCATTTACGATGGCCCACCTCTGACGAAGGAGCATTTTGGGTTTAGGCTGTAGGGCAGGTATGCGCTGGGTAATTTAAATGGTGGTTTATATATGGATTAATACCGAAATGGCCTTAAATTGGGAATTGAAATTATTCTACGTTACCCTGTATTCGGCACGTATATAGTCTGGCAGATGGCATGGGTATTGGACTTTGGGGTCATGGGGTGCTCACTGCAGGATACTGAAGAAATCTGATTTGAAATTTCTTTCCTCTCACCGTTTGGGGTCTATAGGCAGGTTTCATGAATGCAGAGATCTGGGTAGCCCTTTGAGCAGCGACTTTCTTTGAACCTCAACGTATTCTGTCTGTCGAGGTCATTACCGCTCAAGCTCGTGCTACATTGGTTAGTCTGGCACGCGCATCAGTGGCCAGATTCAATTTCCAATTTCGACGCTTCGTGACTTCCTGACATCCTAATGTTTTCCTGGCTTTTGGCAGAAAACATTTAAAAATACATGAGGCTTGAACAATGTGCGTTGTTCTATGCACTGCCATGATCAGCGTGCCGCACACCTAGAACGTGGCTTTGATGTCAAAGCAGCCTCCGTCTTGTGGAAACTTGAACCAGAATATTTCAGATAGGTTCTTGTGATAGACACAAGACAGGGCCTCTGTGAAGAAGCATGCAGCTGGTTCAGCCATATAATGCTCAGGTTGGTTGTCTCTTTGGGTGGAGCTTCCATTTTGATGTCAGAATTTCAGGAATTGCTGTTATGGTATTCAGAGATTATAGTAGGTAATCTGTGGAACAGATAAGGAGACCACCAATCAGAAAACAAGAGACGACACACGTGAACTGTGAAGGAGCAAGTCAATGCCTTGGTGGAGAACGGACTGATCGACATCAGGCAAGGCCGCGCTGACTTTTTTTCTACTGGGCATGTTGATGAGTACCAGGCAGCTTGATACGACTTTATTCAGGAATGCGTGAAATCGTGGTAGGGGTTCTGGGTATGTTGAGGAGATATTCCTCAGTTCAGCTATGTCTGGGGTAATGCTCTTGCCCCTAGCATCTGTTAACAAAGGACGCCAGGGCTACGTGGGAATGGAAACCAAAGGTTTTTGCAGCTTTCTATAGGACACTCCCCTAAACCCTGATTTAAACCCTAAACCCTAAACCGGGTTATGGGTTGCCTTGTTGCTGAATTTACTCAGCTTATGTACTCTGACGTAAGGTAAGGCTTTTGCCCCTCCAAAGTCCGAAGCAACAAATTTAATGGGAGTATATTTTCTTGGGATTGTATAGGGAATCATTTAGGGATTATATTCCCTTATTTCCTACCAACCCCCAGTAAGCCAAATCCTGCCCGTCAAATCGAGTTGGTTGATGCTGATCTTTGGCTTTTCCGGCCGTGGCAGGGAGAGTAGACCCGCCCCCTTGCCGACAGGCGTTCCTTAGGGTCTAGGGTTTGGGGTTTGGGGTTCAGGGTTAGCCATCCAGACTGTGGCAAGTTTCTTAAAAAGAAGTATTAAGGAAACCGACAAATCCAAAACCAAAGCTCCAAACCTAAACTCTGAACCCGTAAGCCCCAAAGCGAAGCACCTAAACCCTCAACCCCTAAACCTAAATCCTAAACCCCTCAATCCTAAACCCTCAATCCTAAACCCTCAAACCCTAAACATTAGATCCTAACCTCTAAGCCTTAAACCTCTAGACCCTAAACCTTTAAATCCTAAACCTTAGGAACCCTAAACCTTGAAATCCTAAACCTTTACATCCTAAACCCTAAACCCTAAACCCTAAACCCTAACCTTAAACCCTGACAAAGCTGGCAGCAGGATGTTCGGCATGGAGCCCAGGGAGCCCAGGGAGCCACCTGCTCCCCGCAGCTTGGCTTGCTCCCCTTAATAACCCCTATAGTAGTCCCCTATATAATCCCCCATATATACCCCTTTTAAGGAGTTTAGACTATAGCTCATATAGGGGTTATATAGGCATTTTGGTTTCGGATTAGGGGTTTATGGCTTAGGGCTTGGGGTGTAGGGTTTAGGATTTCGGGTTCAAGGTGTAGGGTTAGGGTTTAGGAGTGCTTTGCTCCCCGAGCGGGCTAGCTGTTGGAAGCACCCATGTCTCAAAATTCTGGGACCCAACCGTAGGCCCTAAAGTGAGCACCTGACCCTCTCCCATAACAAAAAAAGGTCCGCCAAAGACTACGGTCGAAAAGGGTGATGATATAGTTGCATGGTAGTCTTGCGGGAGGGTAACAGCCCACACACCCTTAACCCTAGATCAAGCCCAAATCCCCAACAATCAGTCTATGGTTGGGTTTGAGGATCTTGGTTGCCGTTCAGCCAGAGACATTCGGTGCAGCTTTTGAGCATTGGGATGTCCAATTAAGGGATTTTAGGTTTGCTGGGTTGGCCTTTGGGATACCTCTACATTTTCCATGATCTCCCCTTTTTTGTTTTACAAGGACCGAAAACGATCCTCACTGGGTTGAGTGCTTCACTCAAGTTGTGG